GGTCATAAAAGGGTTATAAGAAATTCCTTTGATCAGGTGCGGGTCATAGAGTTCATAGTTCATAAGTCATAAGGTCATGTCATATACGTCATATGTTATCAATCATTTTTGACATACGGTCATAAGTTCATAAGTCATTAGTCATCAATCATTTTTGACATAAGGTGTGTCCTTATACTACTCCTGTGAGCACTTAATTTAATATGACATATTAAAAAAATCCCACCATCAGCTTTCAGCATATGTTCAGTTTCTGCCCATTTGTAGATTTTTTTAATAATTTTTGGGATAACTAGGATCATTCAAAACTGCTTTTTTTGAATGAACTTTGTTTGTTCTCTACTCCCAAACTCAGCATCTCTTCATCCATTCCTGCAATAATAATAATAAATAATAAATGTTTCTTTTGAATGGATTTGATTAAACTTTTAGTCCCTCGGTATAAAATAAATCTTTTGATGGAGATGAGAAATCTGCTTCCTGGTTGGTGAATAACCAATAGTTTGCATTGTATCATTTAAATAAACGGTGTTAGTTTTTTTTGGAATGTATAAAAAATATGCTATTATTTCTAGTTACCGATCTGTTGCTACTATATTTTAATTTGACGAACCGGAGTTTCTCGATGTTCTTTTTCCTGTTTGGTGCGATTGCAATTGCGGATCTTGACTTGGCCGGACCGGAGCGGAGCAAAAAATAGCTCGGCTCCGTATTTTGTCGGTGACGGACGGAGAAGACGTACGTGGACGGAGACGTGCGGAGGAGTAGCGGTGGATGTGGAACAGCTCTCATTGATTTACATGAAAGACAAGCGCTCCACACGACGTACATCAGCGGGGCGGAGCGCTGACGGAGTATGTGGAATCTGGGGGGAAGTCAGTCATTTTCAGTGACTTTGAAAGCAGCTTCCTACTTTCATTCTTCTTTCTCTTCTTTTCAGCACCGCTAGGGTAACTTCTTTTCATCTTTCTTTCCTTTCCTTTCCTTCCTCTTCTCCCCCGCTCTGCTTGTATCTTCTCTTCACGCCGTTTGTTTTCAAATGGTTTACTGCTGTCTGTTTGGACCTTTCTGCCCATGTGCAGCAAATGGACTGAACCAATGTAGTGGACACTGTAGGGGGGGCCCCGAGACACACTTAATATTATAAGCATTCTAATGGCATTTTAGCGAAAAGATTTTTATCAAAAACATAATTAATGTGCACAAATAAGTAATAGCTGTATTAACCATACATGTAAAAGGAGTTTTAGGGGGCCCCCCAGGAACTCGGGGCCCTAGGCAACTGCCTAGTTTTGCCTAATGGTAAATCCGCCCCTGGGTGCGAGTTTATGTCTGTGCTGAAGGATTAATAGTCTGTAGCTTTGTCTGAGCTAGACAGAGCTGTGTGCAACAGAAACAGATGGCTGACATTGCATTTGCATCATACAAGTTGTATGATGCAAATGCAACTGATAGAATATGAAATATAAAATAAATTTTCCATTGGAGACCTCTGTACTCTATGGATGAAGTGTCTCACAGTTAGTTGTATTACATCTATTAATATTACCATGTATAATTT